TTGCATATGTCTGGGTCGTTTATTTGCTATATTATTTTGCTTATATTTTGTTGTATTTGTATATTCCATAGTGTACGGAGTGGATGTATATGTAGTACTCTGTGTTGTCTCTTTTGTTTTAAAGGGTGTTGAATTCCATTAGATGATGTTTCAAGATTATGTTGCTGCCATTTTAGCAGTTTATACTCCCAGTTAGCAGAAGTTCTTTCGGTTTCTTTAGCTATATTTCGGATGTTTAATAACTCTGAAGGTTCGAATAATAATATATCTCCTTTCTATGAGTAAATAAATACATTATTGGATTCATTTCTCTTTTTTTATATACTAATTGTACTGTATATTATCTAACATTAAATCTCATACCTCTTCTTCGTCATCAGTTTCGGTTCAATATATGAAATTCTCTAAAATGATGAGTAAATATACAAAAATAAATTCATTAAATTTCATAAAAAAAAAACAAGTTAATATTAATTGCATCGTTACCTTTTTTGTACGTTTTGGCCTAATCCGAATTTCATGATTTTCCTATGTAAAGTGTTAACATAATTAGTTCTGCTGACTCTAACTTCAATTTCTATCGAAAAAAAACTGCACGTCAGTACTTTGTTTTGATCATTCTGATTCAAAAGTCCGTTGTTAACCCTGATGGTACTTTCTGAATGTGTATTGTCAATATTGGTGGATATTACTTTTGATATATACTCCCGTTCCCATTCTTTAGCAAGTTTATGATCAGCTTTATCTCCCTAAAAACAAAAAAGCATGGGAATTAGTAGTATTCGCAAGTACTTTACAATTTAGAATTCCCCATGCAAACTATTGCGTGATTCAGAATTTTTATCATCTATGACTATAAAATCCCCCGGGTCAGCGAATAGCCTTGAACATCAGGCAACCTAGTAAGCCACCTGTGCCCCGGGAAACCAGTGTGAGTCAGCTAGTAGCCGAACATCGACAAAGATTTTATTTACTCTTGAATAATCGACGATCTAGTAAGCCATTGTCACGCCACTTTCTCTCTGCATTCCTAATAAAAAAAATCAGTACTTGCCAACCGATATCTATTTAGAAGATGCTGTGCTTTCTTTCGTCGGGTGGTGTCTTCTTGCTCATCGTCAGCAATAGTTTCGAGGGATTTTAAGTAATAGTCTATTTTTTTATCGAAGGCTTCTATGTCATTGCATTCATTCAAAAATCTTAGTATATTCCACTCGGAGGAATCACGATTAAAATATTTATTTCCCGACATTTGTTAAATTGCTACTGGGCTATTGTTTTTTACAGGCAAATGTTTATACGAATAAAGCAAAAAGAACTTGCAACAGTTGTGATTGAGGTATAGTTAAAAAGAACTTGCAACAGTTGCGATTGAGGTACAGTTA